GTAAACTGGATGTTTCGCAACTTATGAATGCAATACAAACAGGTATTGCCATGAAATTCATATCAAGTGCTACAACCTGATACAAATATAAATTTTCCTTATTGGTTTTGTAGGTCCCATCAAAACCAACAACATCAAAAAATCGAGTTGATAAATTCATTTGATCTGCTGTTGTGAAGAAGAAATACAACAGACAATTATCTCCATCTAAGTCGTATTCACAAAGGCCACCAAGCGACATGATGTGATCTTTCAAGTTGGAGTAATCACCTAAGGTTGACAATTTAAATAGGTACATTGCTTACCAGGGAGGTTGGCTTGTGAGAAGAACACTTTGTGGCGCATATTAAAAACATTTTGAGCATTGATGCGCTTTCTATAAGATTGGTAAACAAAGTGCATAATATTGAATGCTGCTGTCCCAGATATCGAAAGTGGTCTCTGTTGTGGATGCGAAGGATAGACCAATAATTATCATGTTAAGTCCAATGGTGTCCTTGGACTTTAAATGGACATTTCCTACTGGTCGATATCTGTCCACATGTTGAATATGGTACAAAATGTTGTTTTCTATTTTTATGGTACGATGTGGTATGTTTGGTTAGTATATAAATAGAGTATGTCTGAAATACAATGATTCATAACTCAGAGGCTGAGATTTGTGTTCTGGACTCAACTGGCTGGGATAGACAGGGAATCGGGACCAATCGTAACTCTAGGTTGTCCATTACGTTCGCACGTGTTTACGTGTCATTGAATCGGTCGATAAATACGCTGCTCTCTAGTTTTTCAGTCAAGGACACAACAATTAGCACAGGGTAAAAAGCAACCACAACCTAAAGTCATAACAGTCTCACTGTTTCAAATTCAACCTCCGTTAACCTGCGCATCCAATAATTACTTTGGTACCTTAGGGGATTGCACTCGTGATTGTGATGCACATTTCCACAAACAACAGTCCAGTAACCTTCAATAAACTTATTAAAGATGAAGGAAGGAGATTGAGTGTTCACGGTAGTCCTTAATGAAAGATTATAATAACACTAATTAAATTACCTCGTTCGTCTACTCGGCTGTGAAGAACCGCTAGATGTTCTACGACCATTTCTCCAACATACGAATCTAACATACGGCTTCCGATCTTTATGGAAATGAGAATCTCGCACAACATAATGGCAGTACGTATCTGTTTTATAAGTTCTAATGGCGCTCTTCAACGCTTCAAGACATTGGAACGCTACGAGATACAATGTGCTCAAGAATAGGTTATCGGTTTCTGTGACAACGTGAGGAACGACAGAGTTCGTGCTTTGCATGTTACTACCGTTCATAATTGGAAGAAAATATACTCTGTCGTCAAGTCCTGACACACTATATCGATTTTAAAAAGTAAACGACCAATTATAACGAACTTAAAACTAGCTATTTCATTGGACGAAACAGAATGAAAATTATTGGAAGATGGGGATGGAAAAAAATTCCTCTCAAAAAATACAAAAATGGCTGTGCAATTAACGTTAACCTACTACTTGGATTAAATTTAGAAAAGAACTTTTATTTTGTTGGTTGTTTTCGATGATAGTTGATCACGTAAAAGACAGATCAAAGTGTATTTTGTAAATACTGAGGACTCGATAGTAGGGCTGCATTTTCAGTTATTTCTGATTTTGATTGTTTGCAGCATTACAGGTTACCACATTAGTTGTACTCACTTTACTTACGCCTGTTACTCCTCGTGAAGGAGCATAGGCCGCTCACCAGCATTCTCCATCCAACCCTGTCCTTGGCAATCCTTTCCAGCTCCTTCCAGTTGTTACTCATATCTGCTTCCATTATCCGACGTAATGTGTTCTTAGGCCTTCCTCTTTTCCTTTTCCCTTCAGGATTCCAAGTTAGGGCTTGTCTCATGATGCAGTTTGACGATTTGCGTAATATATGTCCTATTCATTTGCATTGTCTTTTCCTAATCTACTCTTCAGCTGGAGGCTGGCTTGTTCTCTCCCACAAAAGGCTGTTCCTGATGGTATCCGGCCGATGGATGTTGAGTATCTTGCTTAGACAACCATTTATAAAAACTTGTACCTTCTTGATGGTGTTTGTTGTAGATCTACAAGTTTCAGCTCCATACAATAAAACTGCCTTGACGTTGGTATTGAAGATTCTGACTTTGATATTGGTTGGAAGGTGTTTTGAGTTCTATATGTTCTTCAATGAAGGAATACGGACCTTGTTTTGCTAATCCTCACCTTTACGTCTGCATCTGAACCTCCTTGTTCATTGATAATGCTTCCTAGGTGTGTGAAGGATTCTACATTTTCCAGAGTTTCGCCATCAAGATTGATTGGATTGTTGTTTTCCGCTTTGAATTTGAGGACTTTGGTTTTCCCTTTGTGTATGCTGAGGCCTACTGATACAGAGACTGCTGCTACACTGACTGTCTTTATCTGCATTTGTTCGTGAATATGCGACAGGAGGGCTAGGTCATCTACGAAATACAAGTCGTCTACTTGGTCCTGAGCTGTCCATTGTATGCCATGTTTCCTCTCAGATGCGGAGGTCTTCATAATGCATTTGACCACCAGAAGAAAGAGGAAGGGAGAGAGTAGACAGCCTTGTCTCACTTTGGTCCTTACTTGGAATGCATCTGTCAGCTGTCCTCAATGCATGACCTTGCACTGTAGTCCGTCGTATGAGTTCCGGATAATGTGGGCAATCTTGTCAGGAACTCTGTAGTGTCGAAGAATTTTCCATATTGTTCTCCTTTCTACACTGTCAAACGCCTTCTCATAATCAATGAAGTTGATGTATAGTGATGAGTTCCACTCAACTGATTGTTCAACGATGACCCATGGTGTCGCAATTTGGTCTGTGAACGATTGATCCTTACGGAATCCAGCCTGTTGATCTCGAAGTTGAACATTTACCGCATTTTTCATCCAGTTCAGAAAAACTCTGTTAAAGACGTTCCCTGGTACTGTCAGTATTGTGATTTTTCTGTAGTTTTCACATTTGCTCAGATCTCCTTTCTTTGAAGTGTTGATGAAGTGTCCTTCTTTCCAGTCCATCATCACTTGTTCCTCCCAAATCTTGAATAGAAGGTCAAGCATATTTGTAGTTACTTAGATTTCTGACTACAGTGCTTGAGCTGGTATATTGTCTGGTCATGCTGCTTTCTCGCTCTTGATTTGTCTGATGGTTATCCTAACTTTGTCAGTCGTTGGTGGATCAACATGTATGGGAAGATCTGTATGTGCTGCATCGATGTCTGGTGGATTCAATGAAGCCAGTTTAATTCAAGAGTTCCTCAAAGTGCTCTGCTCATCTGTTCCGCTGTTCGTAAGTCGCAATGATGGTCTTGGATTCTTTGTCCTTGATCGATCTCTCTGGCTTACTATATTTCCTGATAGTTTCTTCGTTGTGTGATAAAGCTGTTTCATATTTCCTTCTCTTACAGCTTTTCGGCTGTCATTTTTAGATCATTCACGTATTTCTGCTTGTCAGCTGTCATGCTCTTCTTCATTTGCTTGTTTTTTTTCTGTGTATTCAGCTTGTGCTTCGACTTTCTCTGCTCTTGTTCGGCTGTTGTTGATTGCTGTCTTCTTGTTGTTTCTTTCTTTAGTTCTGTCAACAGTATTGATAGAGATCCCTTTCATTATGATGATGCTTCTTGTGCCCCAGAACCTCCTGTTATGTTGAAGTTAATGCTTCTTTGATACCTTTCCAGTTGTCCTCCATGTTAGTTTCTTCTTTCAGTAGATCTTACAAGACTTGGAAGCTGTTGTTGAGAGTTATCTCGAATTCGTTGAATTTGTCAGTATGTGGAAGGAAGGCTGTATTTAACCTTTGTACTGCTGTTTCAAAAGTTGTCCAGTGCTTCTTTAGCCTGAGTTTCATTCTGGCAACCATCGGGTGGTAATGATAAGCTATGTCAGCTTCTCTCCTGGTTCTCACATCTTCCATTGACCTTCTGAATTTAGTAGTTCAAATATGATCTATCTGGTTCTCTGTAATATAGTCAGGATTGACCCGTGTAGCTTGGTGTATGCGTTTGTAGCAAAAATAGTGACGCCTATAACCATTTAGTTGAATGCACATAAGCTTACAAATATTTATCCATTCTCGTTCCTTTCTCCCAGACAGTCCATGTCGTCTCATGATATCTTCATATCCGGTGTTGTCCATTCCGACTTCGGCATTTAGGTCTCCCATCAAGATGGTGAGATCCTTTATTGGGCACTTCGCTATGATTGATTGCAGCCTCTCATAGAACTGATCTTTATTGTCGTCATTGCTATCGTTGGTTCGTCATAACATTTGATAACATTCATCGTGATTCCATTCTTTGTTTTGAAGAATGTTTTGATGTTCCTGGACCCGTGAGATTCCATCTTATAAGTGCATTTCGTACTACTTTGGACAAAATTAGAGCAACTCCCTGAGTGTGTGGAGCATTTTCCTCTTCGTAACCGGAGTACAGCAGCATCTCTCCCCTATTTACCCCTTTTTGTCCAGCTTGGCTCCCATGAGTTTCACTAATTCCGAGTACTGTCAAGTTGTGTCTCCTCATTTCCGTTGTTATTTGAATGGTCCTTCAGGTCTCCCACATTATTGGACGTTCCATGTACCTATAGAACTTGTTATTCTAGTTGTTAGAAGGGGCATCGATCTCGTGGCTTCTGAAGGAACCCGGCTTTCACCATGATGTGTCATAGTTCTTCTAAATGATGACTTTTTAACTCCCAGGGCAGAGTTTAAGTGGTTTAATTTGTTGATTCTGGTTAGCGTGTTTTAGCGATTTAGTTTTCTACGGGATGGGGTCGCTAATCCCATGTCCAACCCTCCTCCTTTACCCGGTCTTGGGACTGGCATTAACTCTGGAAGAGCTACAGTCGGAGTTACATTAGTTGTACATAACAATATTTATCTATATAGAAAACATCAAGGTCATAACAAAATGGTTGTCATTATACTTATTTCACGTTTAATTGTTCATCATGAAGGTATAATAATCAGTGGATGATATTTGACGCTAAACGATGGCCAAGAAATAAAAGATCTCTTATGATAGCTGAACAACTACCGTAAGTAATTCATATTCTTATACTTTACTAAAGAGTATATGTTAAAGCTTTGTATAAATGCTCCCTAGTAAACTCACTTGTAAACTGTCGTATAGAAATAGACAAAATAAGTACATTGAATCTCAAAACAGTTGATCCGATTTTTAATAGTATAGCAATTATAAACTCATCTCGGAATTGAAGTCAACAGTTTCTGTGCTTTAATATCACTATCGTAAGAATTGTAGTGGCTGTATCCATAAATTAATGCTGTTGGTTACTCACAGAACCTGAGGATATTCGGCCTGAGGCAGATGGAACAAAACATTAAGAACTATTGTATGCTATTTAAAGTAATAGTGAATACTTAAACTTCATTTAATTCAGTCTAAAGACATATGATCTATTGTTTCCAAATACTAAATTTTACTGACTCAAGACACTTGAAGAATCCCACGCGATTAAGACTAACGACTAGCGACTTTAGATTTTCTGTCTGAAGATTAAATGGCTTGGCATACATGACCCGTATCTTCAGGTTTGTAACCCTACAAGTCCTTTTCCTGAAACTTGATATCTGAATTTAGTTATCCCCACTCGATAACTCCGGTGCATACAGAAGACTTCGAAGCAATTGATCATTAGGTGGTCGTAACTAGTTGTCATATCAACTTTATACTATTGTATATCATAACCTTGTAATAGAACACATTGTACTCTCTTGGTGTACATCTAAGTCAATGATAAGTATTAATAGATTGGTGATATAAGTTGTAAAATCCTGACCAAACACTGTCGATCTATTTCATGTTCAATTCTGTAGCATAAATCAGTCTCGATTTAATTTTCGATTAATATGTGTGTGTTTAATCTAAACGAATAAGTTTATTTTACTGTAAAATGAAACATAAACAAACTTATGACAGATGTTTGGAAAAAATTTTGTATTATGTTATAGTATAATAATATAAACCTATAGAAAAAGTCAGTCTCTAAACAATAAGCTAATAATTCTGCAAATAATGTTGGAATCAATAATCATTACGATACCAGTTAAAACAGTGAATTTCTACTTACCACCTATTTTATCTTGAAACGATGGAATACGCAGCTCGAATGGATGTATTTGATATTGTTGCGCTCTCCGACTTAGGATAGCTTGATAGCGAACTGTTTTATTTTTCTTTAAAGAAAAACACCAACACTATTTTCTATCTTTCAGAAGTGAATAATACATTATGAATGTCGTTGTCAATAGCTAAGCGTTTTCACTTATTTGTACCGTTAGGATCCAACTGGTTATTAGGATTTTCGAATCAAACAATTACCTAGAAGTTGTTTTAGATATTTCTGTATCTAGCGGCTTCTCGAGTGTTTTTTTAAACTTTGAACAAAACTTGCATTTTCCAAAAAGGTAGCTAATTATGGACAAATGATTTTTCGAGCTAGATTATTAAGTTTTGGCGTAGACAAGCTAGATCAATCCTACCCTGGATTTCTAACTAGTCCTATCCTCTAGAACCCTAGTCAAAAAACCGATGTAGTTCACACTTAATATATTGTCAACTCCTTAATGGTTTTATGTCACGGCGATAAAAAAATATTTTCAAATAATTGTATTAATTACTGGCATATCCACTGACCATATATTTTCTACTAGTAATTTCAGACTCTGGATGTAATATTAAATGAATCGTATCTCTACTTTCATGTGATCATATTTAGCTTAGATCATAAACTAATGAAATCTAGCTATGAGATTCTTTCTAATGAATTTAATTAACATAAAATCTATAAGATATAACACACTGCTAGTTAATTAAGTTATTTGTGAGTTTACATTGGATATTGCCATGTAAATGATATTAATCATATATACTGTATAAATTTATTTTTGTGTAGGGGAATAGTGTCTAGTCTTGATGTAACAAAAATATTGAAAAATCAAGGTTATTGGGCCAGTTATAATCTACCGTAAGTTTTTATTCAATATTATTAACAATTTAGCATTAGGTATTTTCAAATATTCATTAAAACGAAAAGATCACTTGCTGATTTATTATAACAGTTTAAAAAAAACTCTATGACTATATTTGTGTTTTCCAAATACAACAAAATATTATCAGTGGAGAATGGAATCATTCTTTTAGGAACTAGTTATCTGAATCTAATGGTATTTCCATGAGTATTCCTTTCTTTAATAAAACTCTAATATAATATTTGTCAATTTAAAAAATAATAATAAAAGTTTGCCATTTTACGTCGTCGAGGAATACAAGAAAATAAAACCACTTTATTTTTTACATAAATCTCGTACTAGGACAATTTACGATAAACGTTTCTGTAAACCTGAATGAATATGGAAATTCGGAAATTAAATGTGTTTTCAGGATACCAAATATCCTTTTGTTGAGACCAGAAGTAACGAGGTGGTTATCTTTCAAGAACAAATCCCCAATAATTTTGTGAAGCTTTTTATATTTTCACACAGCAAATACTTCATAGTAGGCTACCACAAAAGGTATGACATAAAAATGAAGTGAATGTGTAGCAGAGGTACTTCTTTATGGCCATTCAACTTTGTTTCTACCAGTCGGAAAATCCTAATTTGTAAACAGAATCTTATTAAGTAAATAGATTTTTCGAGAATTGTTTAACGCCATTTTGTGCTTCGATTCTTTTAAACTACGGATTTCACGTTTAACTTCCCATTGCAGTCGATATTATTTCCTCTTTTCTGCTTCCCACTTCATTAATTTCACATCTTGATGTTCTGTTTCGACTTGTGGCTACTTGAATCGTACCAGATCGTTTGTCATGTATGACGAACAAATTGAAGAGTTTGTAAGCTTTTTCGGAACTTCAACATCGACAATAGATTCGTTTGTAAATCTTTAACAATATGTAGTCGTTCATATGATGTAGGATTAACAGATTGAATATAAACCACTATTTAATAGTAAAGTTTCTTCTCCAGTGTTGTGACTTTAAACTTGGATCGATTTTTACCCCATGCCAACTGTCGTGTCCTTGACTGGAAGACTAGAGAGCAGCGTATTTATCGATCGATTACAGTGACACGGAAAACACGTACGAACGGCCTAGAGTCTCGACTGGTCCTGCTTCACCGTCTAGCCTAGCCAGTTGAGTCCAGAAACACAAATCTCAGCCTCTGAGTTATGAATCGTTATATTTCAAACATACTCTGTTTATATACTAATCGAACAAACCACATCGTACCATAAAATGGAAAATAACATTTGTACAATATTTGACAAGTGAAATAAATATCGACCAATAGGAAATGTCCATTAAAAGTCCAAGGACACTATTAGACTTAACATGATAATTATTGGTATACTCCTCTGCATCCCTAACATCCAGAATCACAAAGTTAACGAAAAATCCTTATGTTTGGACTGGTACCCATTGATTCAAAGTTGTGTGACACCATTATATGAAGCTAGATCATACACTGAAGCAGTGAATAGAACCTATATTTATTTTTAATGTGATAATATCTGGTCGAATGTTTACACATGTTAAAAATTGTTATGACTTTGATGCTCGTCATCGTTTGTCAACTATCAAACTCCAATCGACTTTACTAACTCTTTAATATCTCATCGTCATATCCAGTTTTTAATATACATTATTGCTTATAGATTTATAACTTAGGCGATTTTAATTTAATTCTAAGCTCTTATTCCAACTTCCTTTGTTGTCCAGGTTTATTGATGACATCTACATACTCAGTGGAACAAAGAATATGGCCAAAATGCATGGAGACTGGTATGTACATAATATGACATCGAGGGCCAAAATTTTCCGACGTGATCATCACAAAGTTGTTGATTTTCCAAGTATGATGTCGCTTATGAGGCAAGTCTAACTGTAACTTTTGTTATATTTCTATGGTATTTCACCAACAACACTAAGGACACTATGCTAAATTTCAGATTTATGATTTAACTAGATTTGGTAATTTTATGCAGAACATTGTTACACACTTCTAACTTAAATGCGTTTAAATAGTAACTTTAGAGTTTGTACTTTTACATGCTGGTTATAAGATGAGAGTATGTAATCGAATTCAGTTTAACTAACTTGATATTACATGAGACATCTTTTGTGGTAATTCTATATTGCATAACTGCGTGATTATTCTACAAAATTCCCAATTACAGCACGAATTATTTTTAAGATGTACTTTCTTAATAAGCATAGTAAAGTAATCCACTTTTTTGTTTTTATATATTTTGTGAGAGCGAATTCAATGTGTTCGGTGCTTAGACATTTATATTCACGTGAATCCATTATTTGCCGACCCCATGCTTTATTGAGTGCTTTGAAAATGTCAGTCAATCCATTTAGGATAGATTGTGCAGTCTTTTGTCCATATATATGTACATTACCATAAAAAACGTAGTATTTGACCACAGATGCCTTAGAAATATTACTCGTATCTGCTGGGAACACCGAGTAAGTAATAGTGAGGTTAGACGCAGGTTGTGAATCTTCATCGACTGAGATGGTTTGGCCACGTGTTACGTATGCCTGAACACCGATTACCACGACGTGCAATGCTAACCGGCGTTAGGGATGGTTGGAAGGAAGTTAGGGGCGGCCAAACTGAAACGTGGCATCAATCAGTGAAGTTACTAACTCCTGGTCTGAGCCATGTTGGTAGATGCAGACTACTTGGTTGGGGTCTGCGTGACTATTGTAACCAATGGTTGGAGACTCTGGGTGATATGGCTTAGAATCGATCACAATGGCGTCGGTGTACACACTCTCTCTCCTCTCTTAAACTATGAGATTAAAATCGCTTCATATCTTTCTTTCTACGAACTAATTCTTTCTTCCTGTACTATGCCCTTATATGCAGTCTTTCTTTTACATATTACCACCTCTGAATTAACTACTTCTATGAATCCAGTGTTCATCTTGTTGTGCTAATGAAGTATGGCAACTTGGACTGGTGTACATATGTGCCTGGTCCTACTTTTAGCTGACTTACTGACATCCCCGAAAGAACCAGTCGTTAGTGTTATCTATCATAAGGTATTCTGAGTTTTAAAATTCGAATTTTTAAGTGTCATTTCGTTAGAGGACGTATTTTTACTTTCAGGTATAATGACTTCATGAATGATCCATTATCTGCCTGTCCGTGTAAACCTCCGTACACAAGTAACAAAGCTATATCAGCACGAGATGAGCTGAATGATCCGAAAGGACAGTATCCAATTCGTTCGTGGTCCTACCGCTTACATGGAGGAACGGACGCTAAAGTTGTTGACTTATCGATGATGAATCAAGTAAGTTGAACAGATATTAAGAAATCGAAAGAGAAGCTGGACTTGATATTCTAGAATTCTTAATAATGGTGGTCCAGTCTTAGAAGATAGGTGGACTGATATATTTAACCAGAGTATAAGAACTGGATAAAATCCCATTTCGCCGATCTGGATCACTGATCAATCTAAGGTTTGATTTAATAATTTTGAATAAATTGAGCATTGGATAGATTATTATAAATAAGCAATATATTTGTAATATCGCAATGAGTAGAAAAATTGGATTTTCTGACGTTTCGTGACTTAGTGTAAGCCACTTCTTCAGAGAATAAATAACCAAATTAAAATCAATCCAAGTTTAAATAGTACAACGGGACAACACGAATATTATGTGATCAATCGAAAAACAGGTCTGAATAAATCAATGTCATGTCATTATGGTCAATGTGATTCATAAGCGACTTGTATGTAAATATGTGTGTATGTATGTGTGCACTGTTAAGGATGAAAGTTGTATGACCTTTATGGTGAGAAAGAATAGTGTTTAATTTGTAAGATAATAGTGTGAATTGTAAATAATATCAGACTAGGTGGCTAGGATAGATACTTCAAGTAGGATGTATGGTAAGGCCTTTTTTCTATTGAGAGATGTAGCGGAAGCGGGACACCAATGACTGGTTTTAGCTCTTTCAAAATTTGACTTGTCTCGGATTCGACTTTATCATTAAACATAAGAAAAGTTTTTTGGATAGATCTTTTCTTATGGTCCTGTTGAGAGATGTTCAAGAGCTGAGCTGTCCATGAATTCATTGACTGTGGGTTTAAGCCATTTGTGTAGGGATGAACTACTGGGTTGGGGTTCGCGTGATATTAAGTAAACCCAACCATTGCCTACCTCGACGCGCATTGTTAGCTGATATAAAAGTAGGCTGAAGCAAAGCCGAGGGTAGTAAAACCAAGGCGCAGGATCTGTCCATCAAGTCTTTAAGTGTTGGTTTAAGTTATGTAGGTACATACAGATTACCTGGTTGATGCTCGCGTGATAAGCACGACCAGTGGTTCGAAATAGTGGGTGAAATGACTCAGAATTGGTCATAATGGTACAGATTCATTCAATCTTCATCTTCCTTTAGGTCTGCAATCCCACTATTCTTTCAGATATACTTTTTCACTCATTATTCTCAAGTCATGTTCTTAATGTTTAGTTTTTTCTAGTTGTCACAACTACTAGATTGTTTTAACTCCTTAGTTATTCATCTTGTTCATTTCGTCCTTACATGCTGTGGTAAGTCAACTTGGGCTATTGCACATTTGTCCTAGACTCTATGATAATTATGGTTAACTTCGAAATGAAGATATGCAGTTCAGGTAGATGCTTTTGGTATTGTCCAGTTCTCTGAACTAGGTTGCCAAATTATACAATGGTAACAACCCAGCAGCACATAAAAAGTTCTGCATACAGATATTCAAATGAGACAAAACGCACAACAGAATTTTAACCACATGGAAAGTTGAAGCTGTTTTTCATAAAATTAGAGAATCAACCCATCTTCGTCCAATCAATTCCAGAAACTCGGAAACGGGTAGTGCTGATATATATGTGAAACCTCAGAAATCACCACGAGGGTTTTAGAACATTTTGGAATGAATATGGTTCAGAAACTAACGTAATCACTCCACTTCATTTTATCAAGACCTATAAGAAAAACAACCGAAGAAAATAAATCCAATACCAACTGCAACAACCAATACATTAGAAGAGGTTGACAACCTCCGGATACAAAAACTCAGCAACACAATATCTTATCACTGGTATCAGTGCATGCAGACAATGAACATAAATTTGACAGGGAAAACGTCGAAATTCAGGATCTGGTGAATCCAAAGAAAGCCAGGAAATTTCAGGATGCATGGGATTCAGATCAATTAGCAACTAATAGACATATCGGATTAGACCTGACCTATTATCCATTTGAAGAATATCAATCAATAACCTGGTCAGAGGTGAATGAAACAAAACAGCTAACTTAAGTACAAGAACAAACTAATACAGTAAAACCAACGTAGACAATTATAAACAAGGGTAACGGAGTACCCAAAAAGCCCATTTCTACATGAAGTAATCCCTGATAATGTTTAGAATCATCTAGTCCAGACAACTCAACAACACTAATGATTGAGTTTATTTTGAGCAAGTTACTAATGAATGGTGATTATTTTGTCTCTTGAATCTGAGCATTTATACTGACATTCATTCGTTCGAACTCCTCCTCTCGAATTTATTTATTTTAAAACTCGTTCATATAGTTCTGTAGGATTTGTTATAATTTTCCTGTAATAGTTGGCAAGTACTTCAAAGGCCTTTGTTCAAAACAAAAGCATCTTATTAATTTCCGTTAATATTAGTAATAGCCATATTTAATGACAACACTGTCTTTATATTTTTAGCTCAACATGATTGCAATCAGTGGACCGACCTACGACAACTTGCCTCCATTTCGCTGGTCCCTAATTAAAGATGTGACGAAACCTTTGATGCACCCAGATAAATGGCAGTTCCCACCTGTGATCACCAAATTTATCGATTACCTATCTACAAACGGCAATATTTCTGCTGGATTCCTTTCCGTAGAATCATTGTTTTAGTCCCCTTTAATAAAGTAGATTTCATTAACCATATGGATATAACTTACTGTAGATTGCTCTATAATCTGAAGTTTTGTTAGACATTATTGCCCTAATCTGGTATTGTTTGCAAAGATCTTTCGAACTGCTTATTTCGTTTGTTACACACAAATTTTGGTAGTACAGACCACCAAAGGCAGTACTTGACAGATAAATGAAGTGATAATATTGTGAAAGAATCGATGGAAAAATAGTTCAATCAATTAATAAATGAATAATGATAGTATTTGATAACGGAGACAGACTAGTTGGAACACGGTTAAAAGGAGCTCCTTTAAGTTAGGGAAGATTATCTCAGTCTTATACATACTTTGACAAAAAAATCTATAGCTGATTCACCACTGGCCTCCATTCTGAGTCAAAATATCGAATCATAGTTGCATCATCTCTAGGACTCCCACCGAGAAGTCATGGTAGACCAATAAAAGCCAATCCTGTGTATCTATCTTCAGTACCGTTGTGTCAAGGTTGAAGAGAAGAAGATTGATCAACCCTACCCAACACTACTATTGAATCGAACAGTGCCTGTATACCATCACTTTCAGATGTTGTTTCGCAGCAACTATGACAATGTTCTAGCATTTGAAGGAGAGTGAAAAGGTGATCAATACCGAACAAAAACTAGCCTTCTTTTTACTAGTCAGTCTTCAACGGGTTTTGCGTAATTGTAGTATGACATAAGTTGAAAAATTGGGAGTTATCAAAATATTTGTAGCCCAATACTTGTTCAATAGATTGCGCATGGCCTTTTTAAAGGTGAGAACGACGAACGCTACATCACAAGATGGTGGGATGCGCTGTCCTCCAGATTTTTCCAAACAATTTAACCAGTCTTGCAGTCAGAAATTCGTCAGTCTTAAACAGGTGTAACAATTAAGTCATCCGGAGCTAGTGACTTGTGGCGCTTCAAAGTTAGAGCTCACTACGGACCTCCGCCACCTTGAATGGGACGGTAGTTAAGGTTTACAGGACAGTCTGGTTTGTAAGAGCTTGAACTAACAGGAAGGAGTTTGAAAACCAGAAGGCAGTAGCCCGCCAACACGACCATTGCTTCTGCCTTGACGTAGCAGTCAGCTTTGCCTTTCGTGACTATTCAATCGAGTTATATTGGCGTGAATACATGTACCTTTAAGTCCTACTGTGCCAGGTAGGTCACTTAAAGAAATGTAACCCTTAAAGCAGCAACTTAAGCTCTGTGGATGAAGTACTGCTGAATATGGAGGGGTGTAACAGCAACAAAGTGTTCCCCTTGGACTGACAGCACCTGCAACGACGCTACGTCCTCATAACAGAAGGTGTTACGAAATTTCACAAATCCTGCCTCATAGATTTCCGCCTTCGGTAGTAAGGCCTTATGGAGTGTAGAGCTAACACATCAAAAGCTTCCCATAAAAAGGTCGAGCATGACGGGCCTCGATCAGTTTTCCCCTGGACTCTGTGGTCACACTCCCACGTCACTAAGACCACTACCAAATCAGCTTAGTTTTCAGGTCTCTGAAGAAAAAATATCCCACCATGGTGTGGACAGCCGGGAAGTAATAAGCACCCTTATAACTCTATCAACACTTGAGGTCATCTTGTTCACGATAACGACCCCTCAACTCTTGATAATTATTCCACCTCCACGAACAATACTTCTCGCATATCATAACGCGCCACCAATCTTAATGATTTGCGCTTGAGAACTATAATTTCTGATTTCCTGAAACTACTACTTAAACTACATATTATAGCTTTTAATGTTCGAAATTTGTGTCGAATAGAACAACGGACTTTCCTAACTAGGAATCTAGAATCTCACACCATAAATATATGCTGTGCCTCGCGAACGCACATCAGTCAGTCAGCTGCAAAGTAGGACAAGGCACATATGTACATCGGTCCAAGTTGCCATACTTCATTAGCACAACAAGATGAACACTGGATTCATAGAAGTAGTTAATTCAGAGGTGGTAATATGTAAAAGAAAGACTGCATATAAGGGCATAGTACAGGAAGAAAGAATTAGTTCGTAGAAAGAAAGATATGAAGCGATTTTAATCTCATAGTTTAAGAGAGGAGAGAGAGTGTGTACACCGACGCCATTGTGATCGATTCTAAGCCATATCACCCAGAGTCTCCAACCATTGGTTACAATAGTCACGCAGACCCCAACCAAGTAGTCTGCATCTACCAACATGGCTCAGACTAGAAGTTAGTGACTTCACGCACTGATGCCACGTTTCAGTTTGGCCGCCCCTAACTTTCTTCCAACCATCCCGAACACCGGTTAGCATTGCACGTCGTGGTAATCGGTGTTCAGGCATACGTAACACGTGGCCCAACCATCTCAGTCGATGAAGATTCATAACTTCATCAACTGATTTACCATCATTCCCTAATACCCTGCGTCTAACCTCACTATTACTTACTCGGTGTTCCCAGCAGATGCGAGCAATATTTCTAAGCCATCTATGGTCAAATACTAGTGTCTTACGAGTATCTTCTACTGTTAATGGACACGTTTCGCAGCCGTAAGGTAGAACAGAATGAACTGCTGCGCAGTATACTCGTCCCTTGATTGGTGGACGGATATCTCACCTTCGTCACAGGTAACGTATGTTGGCAAAAGCCAAACGATTTTTCTGAATCCGTGCAGAGATTTGGTCAGATACCAACCCATTAGGACTGGTCACACTTCCAAGATAAGTGAAGTTGTAGATGCGTTCGACTACTTTACTCCCTATCCTTAGTTCAGGTGTTGAGGTAGGCCAGTCCTTAAGCAACTATTCGCATTTAGAAGGGGAGGAGCGCATCCCAAACATTCTGACATTGTTGCCCAGTGCTACCCAAAGACTGCATTTTATCAGTGTCTTCACTACACTGTACTTTGTCATCTCTGTTTTCTAATACGACCTCCTGACAGGAAATCAATTCCCGAATATTCAGACGTCTCCCAATGACAGACACTGTCACTGCGGAGTCAAATGCTGCTTTTAAGTCAAGAAAGACCACCATTGTTGGACCCCTGTAGGCATGCCTGTGTTCTAGAACCTGACGAATGGCCAATATGTGGCCGATGCAGATTTGAAGTCAGCCTGATTTGATCGTGCTTGAAATTCGCGAGTCTTAAGCGTCTTATAATTATCGAGGCTGGTATTTTATATTCTATGTTAGTCAGACAAATCCGTCTGTGGTTACCACTCCATGGTTGTCACAGGTTGATTTTGACCCTTTCTTATATATCGGGACAATCAGTGATTGGAACCAGTCAGATGAGATTACGTTCAGCTCCCAGATTTTAGCTAAGATATCAGTCAACCTAAACGCTGAAATTCGACCACTATCCTTAAAGACCTCTGGAGCCAATCTATCAGGACCGACTGCTCTTCCTCGTTAAAGATTGGCTATAGCATTTTAAGCTTCAACTAGAGTCGGAGAACATACTTCGGTTTTCCATTCACGCTGTGCGGGAATGTTGGATAGTTGTAGAGTAGATGAAGTCCAGTTGAACTGCTCCTTAAAATGTTCCGCCAATCATTCTAAACGTCTGGACTGGAAGCAGATGAGTGTCGTTTTTTTCTGAGATAGTTTCACTTACACATTAATTCCAGTCTGAAGAGCTGTCTTGTGTAACCTACGGCCGTCGTCTTTTCCATCTCTTTTGCTTTTATTGCCAACCACTGCTCAGGGTTTAGCTTTCTGTAAAAGCCATCGTTCACTTCGTATGGGATGCACTCAGCGAGAGCGTAGGCAAGAACGATTAAAATACAACAGTGTGTTCCTATCTTTACGGGTTCTTACGGAGCACACAGGCGACGACCATTAACGGGGATCCACTCTAATAGTGCTTGTTCTACCCTCGTACTTAGTGTTATACCTACAACTGTCAGTCCACGAAAACTAGCCGTCGGGTCGCCAAATACACGGAGGGCGTTTCTCGTCGACTCTCCGTTTTGGCAAGGTGAGGTCAAGGAATGACCACACTAGGATCCTGATTGTATGTTTCGGATATACAGCGTACATCAATGGTACGAGATTCTAAGATTCTAGTCAAGGAGGCCTGCTGGCCGATTTGACACAAGATCCGTACGTTGAATGCTCTAATGTGTAGTTTAAAGCGGGTATCAGTAGACCTGGGACAGTGTTTTGCGTACTGGAATCGTTGGCTATGGTGACAATTGGAGAGGAAGCCAAACGAGGAAGTTTAGAGTTGAAAGTCAACACACGAAGAGTACTAGGAATTGTAGAGGGAGATTGATTATGAACAGTGATCCTGAGTGGTTAGAGATATCAGGATGGTTATCACTTCCCGCTGCCCATTCGTGGAAGGGTTATTCCGGAGGTATCTGAAAAATAAATTGGATTAGAGGTGGTCTTAGTGACCTGGGAGAGTGACCGCAGTGCCCAAGGGACAACCGCTTGAGGTCGGTCACACGACTTTTTTGTGCTAGCTCCGTACTTGTTGACCCTACCGGCGGAAACGGATGTCCGTGGAATAAGACGAGGTGTGCACTTTTAAGAGTCGACCTTTTCTGACCCCTCCCCCCCTTGTGGCAGGGCAACACCACTGTTATGCTGGTTGTCTGAAGGACACATCTTACTGCTGTCACACTTCTGTAAAGTCAGCAGTACGGCTTCGCCTTCGAACTTTAGGTTTGTTGCTTTTAGTCTTACCGCTCTTCAACCGACCTGTCTGATATGGCAGGACCTTCAGGAACAGTTGTTCTAGCCAGTATAGCTCGTCTGCTTCATCACGATAGGCAAGCCAGACCATCACGTCAAGGTAGCAACAACGGTCGGGCCCAAAAGCACATGTAGGATCTACGTACTGACATACACATGACCTCACCACGTCAATATAAATAACCAACACGAATTACACTTGTAGCATCTGGAAACCCCACTTCTACTTCCCTTGACCTCGTTGGTGTACGTAAAGCATTAAGTTCAAAAGCAGAACAGGGTTCGTTATGCTGAACCCCAATAGAATGCTAGCTTGAATTGACTTATGATCTCAACTGTTGAATTTTATTTGTTGATGACAGCCATAGAACCATATAACTTCTTACCGTCATTTGGAATGTCGATTATCACAAAAATACAAATCACAATACTGAAAATTTTAATGGTAGAGAATCGTGTATTAAGAATTGTCTGCTCGGTTATCTTTACAATCGCTGCCCATGTAAGTGATTCCCGAGTATAAGTCCCAGTCCCCAATCAAGTTGCCTATATAAATGCAGAATTATTACATAATTGAGGCAGCGATCTAGACACATACTTCGAACAAAGGACTTGTTTTATCATAAAACGTAAACAAAAGACCAATTCGTTGAGACTGTGAAGACGTAGTTACATATCCGCTTAAAGCTACGATCAGATAAAGTGGGACACACATCACTTGTGGTTATCATAATAAATTATACATCTTCAAGTGAAATCTAGCACATGTCTAAGCTCAGTTTGAAGGATGCATATAAAAGCCACTTTCTGCTATCCAATGTTTGTATACAAAACATTTCGAACGAGGTCGAGATTTTGGTATAAATCGTCATGGCGACCGGCTGCCATGTTCTTAATATTTCAGGTACAAACCTGCACAAGTATATTTCAAATTGTTGAAGCTATTTCTCAGTAGAGCAAGAGCTTAGCGCACTACCCTACTACATTAAATCCAACATCAAGGGTCATGATCCAAAAAGACTAACAATAGCGACATGACAATCTATTTTGAAAACACACTGAAAATGGTTCCAACCAGAATGGGACTAGTTAAAATGAAACTACCAAATCGAGTTTTTAAGCACTCGTGAATTAAACTAATGGTATAAACCGTACTGGCGACTGCATTCTTTTAGAGCTTCAGAGAAGCCACTGCAAGCACTTATATCACTTTGAGACTGAGCGCATCGAATAAGTTCGTCGATATGGTATTGACATGGAGATTGTGATTGATCTGAAGTTGAGGATATCTGGGCAGGCTGTGCAGGATTGCCACCCAATCCACCTGACAATGCTCCCGTAACAGCGTGACCAACAACTGAACCAATAGCTACACCCCCGGCTGTAGCTGCCATCTGTCCCATTAAACCTGGCTGTCGCGGTTGTGCTGGAGGCTGTGCAACAGCAGATGGAGGTGCACGAGCCGGCAAATTTGCATGTGGACGAGACGAAACTCTTGAAGGACTAGATCCTCTATGAAATTTAAAGACATAGAGTAAAAGACAATTGATAAGGTTACCTCCGAGGCATTGCGTCAAGCTTTTTGAAGACCACGCTGCCAGACTACGACAAGGTCACTAGCGAGTTAAAACAAATACTTACGCACATTAACAAATTAAAGTATGTTAAATTGGTCTTGTATGTTTACGAGATCCGATCGTTTATGTTAGTTTTTCGACTGTATTTTCATCAAAATAACATTCAGTTGTTGGATTCAAATTTGAGTTGTAAGGACAGAAGGCAGACTGCCCTCTAATACCAGATAAAAAAGTAGTCAACCGAATAGTATTTTTATTTTATGCTTAACAGTTTGTATCATATGATACGCTTAGGTAGCTCATCAGAGCAAAAGTCAGATGTTGAGGCCGTTGTCAAATCATGTTGTTTGCCTGTAAAATGTCAAGCCCATAGATTATGGTTTTTTGAATCTGTTTTTCAAAAATTTTAACAATAACTAACCTTGTTAATAAATTCCGTCGTATGATAAATCAATAAATATTGATTAAGATCCTGATATGTGTAGTAAGCACAGAAGACCTTCGCCTTATGTTATTCGTTCTCTAGTATGCATCTGTGAATCTCTAGTCTTCTCTTGAATAAGTCAATTGAAGGTGAGGACACCACTGTTTCGAGAAACAGGTTTTAAGAATCGATGGTTAGGTGTGAAAACCCGTACGCCCTTGGGATTTTGTTTGTAAATGGTCTGTTATGTCCCCTGATCTAGTAAGAAGAGAGGGAAAGGATATATTTGGTCCAAAATCATTTTCACTGTGCTGTAAATCAAGATCAGATAAATCCTTCGGATGGTTAAAGTAGAAATGTTCGTCAAAATTAACAGTCTGATGCTAACAAAGTTATTTAATTTCGGAATCTATTCATTTTTACAAAACTCTGCCCAAAAATTTTCACCTCCGTAGGTGGGGCTCTAATGGTACAGAACCAACAGAGTGGAGTTTTATATCACCCAGGATGTGCGCTTCGTAGCAAAAATGGAGTGGCGTACGAGGTATTTCGCTCATTCGGTTTTTAACAAAGGCGTGTGGAATCATCATCTGTTATATACTCTTTGTATCATCATTTAAATTTGATGCTATTACTGTTAATTATGGCTTTCACAAAATCGCGCTACAATCGACTTATTTGAACATACCATGTAGATATGACAACTGTAAGGCAGTTCATTGTACAGGCTCTTCACGAAGGAACATTCAATTTATGAGCAGCAGAAAAGGAAAATTGTGTTCTCATCCTCAATGCCAGTAAACAAATTTTTGTTTCAGACCACTTTATTAATAAACATGTCCTCCTTTCCCTCGCACTATTTTTCGGGCTATGTGTATGCTGGACGTTTCACTGGTGTAAGCCAGTCGATGTGGTTGGGACTCTTTTGGTCCTATTCAGTTCCCTTCATTCAGCCTCCATAGCCTGATGTTACTGAGTAGTGTATTTCAGCTTCCAATGTCAAAGCAAATATATAACAGAAATACATTGAATTTACCGACTAATGGATGTTATGGTCAGCCTTTTACAGTTTGTTGGTGATATAGGAATCTAACCCCACCTTACTGCATATATTTGGAGCACGGTATGGTAATTTTGTTACTCAGAAGATGGTTATGCGTTTTCTAATTCTTTATTTCATTTTCTTAACTACCGTTTCGTGCACCTCTTAATATTTGGAATTCTGCATAACTTCTCAGCCCAATTACTAGATCGTAACTTATGAATGTACTAAACCGTGACAATGTAAAAGTAGTATTATGTGTTTTGGCTGGTTTAGTGGTTGGATGGAATACTGAGAAGGAAACTTATTGATGAGTCTCCGTTGACGCCTTCAAATGGGTTATGTTTGTGTTTCTATGAACATGTTGGGTTTATTTACCAGATATAGCCACCGCCTACCTATGGAGTCTTATATTTGCGGCCTCTCTACTTCACTCTATGATGTCTCTACCATGTTAACGGAAACCTGTGCTAAAATTTCCAACTACTTGTTACATCTAAATTTTGCTCTAGTCCGTTTCTGGAACATGTTTGATTCATCCACTCGTAACTTACGACCCGAATAACAAGCTAAATTAATTCCATTTCGGTTACCGAGGTTTGTCCATAAATTACAAGTAGTCGACCAAAACATAATGTACTAATCATAACAATTACATGAAAACCCTCAGTTCTTAGGTTTCGTGAGCAAAAGTTCCAAAATACAAAACCGAAGTAGTGTAAAGTCGAAAATACCAGGGGTGCATTTATAAAAAACGGAGTTCCAAATTTGAGTAAAACAAATGCATTCAGAACGGTGCACTGAGTGATATACGCTAAAACAGTTAAACACTTTCGGTTCCTTCTGTAACACTGTTAACTCTAGGCTGTTATGTATGTTAATGGATTACATTTAGAATGCTTTTCACTTCATCCACACTCAAACATGTGCACCTCAAGTAATAGAGAACATTCAACAAATACACTGCACAACTTTAATCGTCCTCTTACCACTGCCGACCCTCGTCTTATAAGTTTGTCATCATCACGATTACGATCTGGGTTCTGGACATGTATCCTCGGTCCACTTAAAGCACACTCTAAAGTGCGTATGTAAGCTTTTGATGCCAATGCGACATACGAAATCGAAAAGTAACATACCACGCCAGTGACTGTGGAATCTCGTTCAATCGGTGTATTCTGTGACTCAAAGACACACACTATTCAAGAATGACTGTTCGTCTGTCTTCATGTAGTCAATCTAGAGAGGAAGCAATCTACAAAACCTGCGCTTCAAAAGACTTGTCTGTTTCTTTTTTGCATCCTCAGGGGAATCGGTGTATCCACAGACATAAAAGCAAAACAGATTCTCATCAGCCCGTTTCCAGTAGACGATCGCTTTTGTGCTGTAATGCTAAGTGGGACAGAGTAAACGTGGATCGCAAGAAGAAATGTGCGTCACTGCCTCTACTAAAAACTGCAGTTTTGTGAAGTAAATATGTCTCACAGAGATAATACTTTTCTCCTTATGATAACTAAATGCTAAGACGTCCTAATGGTACTTTTGGATGTTATTATCCAAAGCGAACTTAAACATGCCTCATGTCCCGAGACGGATAAGAGTAACCGGCTGGTGAAACTTCACCGTGGCAGTTGTTTATTTCTAGGAAACACCTATTTTGTTATCAAGGAAAGATGTCATGTAACCTGTCAACGTCCGCAATTGCCTCATCATTACACAGGAAAGTCCTATTTATAACAATCCACCACCGAACAGGCTTGACAGATGTCCTCCGCTCACTGTGGAGATATGCTTAGACACAAATTAAGCTCTGGTGTAGAAAAATATTTGAATATTCTTGAGTAAAAATAAACTTCAATAGGATGACGGTTTCGCTTTCTCTCTCGCTATACAAACCTTTACATACCTTTCGCTCATAACCACACAGGGTTTATAAATAAATATTTTGTATCACATTTATATAAATTATCTTTTCAGATTCGTTGTATCTTCATTATATATGTAAGATCCCTAAAAATTGATATTTGATGATTACTAGCTGCAACTGAGTGGAACTTTCGTCGCCTAATCCCACACTATTACAGCACAAACTCTCCTATCATCAAATTTTGCCAGAATATTGAATCGATTTTCAGTTTTTCTGAAATACACATATCACTATTTATTCTTATTTTATCTCGTAGACCGACTAAATAAATCGCTCACACCTTTCCTGATTCTTCCTTCCTTTGTTCATCTAAATGAACTCAGCATTCTTCTAAATACTACGGAACCTGTTTACATATGTAAACATCAATAAGACTTGTGAGTAATTGCATTTATGAGGATACCCTAAATAGTTTCTCTACAACACATATATTCCAATAGCCTGTTTGTGAATAGTATTAATGATGATAATTATTCGGAATTCAGGTTGACGATTAGAAGGTTAGAAAGGCATTTTGTTTAGTTCAATCACTTAATTAGGATTTAGTACAATAACTACTCAGAGATATAGATATTTGTCTTTCAAAATTGCTACCTCTTTAAATTTAGTTTGTAACACCAGATGAGGTTCGACATTAAATCAATAGAACCTGTCTCATTAGATTCAAACCCTCTCATTAAGACCAAGGAGCTTTCACTAATAGACAATTGCAATGAAAGCGATTAAGCTAGAATATATACGTAAATCTTCACATATTTATGTAATATTTATGTGGTAAAAACGACCTAAAAATGACACAAGGATTCAAAATTTTACGACGCCTTTACACTTAACGTCTTTATTGTCGAAGTCTGTTAACCCAGTCAAATCAGAAGTCAGAAAAGTAAAACGTTCAAATATATTGGTAAGTGTTTTATCTAAGCTGGCTAATAGTTGTGACATACGCGAAGCACGGTGTACCTGCTTTTGATCTATTATTAGACCAGTACTAATGTCAAAGTAGACTATAATTATGCAATCTCTTGCTTAATAACTATATTCCCTTGTTGTTTGGCACGTTAGTTTATGCTAGAAAAACCTTTGACTGTATAGCACACGTTTTACTGTCGGAAGCATTTTGCGCTTTTGACATAATTTTTTCGCTTTAGTAGATTAAAACAGTTTAAATTGAACATATAACAGTACGAGTGACACGAAAATCCTCCATACGCGATGTAGAAGAACGTAGTCTGGCCTAACAGAGTAAGTTTGGTTCGTTAGTTCTGCGTTCAAACCGAATATTGGTATTTCCGTCACAACAACCATTAGCTTTATTCTAGGGTACCGATCATTAACCTTTTTTTCTTGTTCCAAGATTCCAAATTTGCTAGTAACAAGTCTTCTTGATGAATTGGAAAATCTGACATACGATTAAAAGCACGGATCTGTGATTGGTAGATAGGGGAAATCAAAATCAACATCACTGAATACTTCCCTTATCACCATCATCATGAAGAGCATAAGACAAATAGTATATTCTATCGTACAAGCATGAGTGCATTAAAATCCTCACCCTCATTATCGGTGTTTGCTAGTCAGAAGCTTCAACCTCTTTTGCTTTTCGATATTAGGCACTTTTGAAATGATGACCGTACTATAGTTATGTCAT